CAACGTTATCCCCACTTTATTTTTGTAATGGTGTGCGATGCAAAGGTGCAGTAGTTATATAACTCGTCTATAAGACGCACATATTATCATAAGTTACATATCAACAAAATAACCATACTTCATTGGTATATTCATATTATTAACGGTCGTATTTTGATTTTCATCTGACGTTCATAGTATATGCACATGTATACATTAATTGCATATGTCTATCACATGAAAAATGGGCCAAAGGAAGAGAAGATATCTTAATAATGCTAATGTAATTATTCTTTTTCTCTTGTTTACTGTCAACATTAGTATATACATGTATGCTTTGATATTTGTTTATTTCTATATTTTTGTGACATGAGAATAAATCCGCTTGTATCACTGTCCAAAAGAAAATAAAATAAAATGTCTCTTAATTAAAAACTCATTCAGTCAATGTATGAAAAAGCATAAACCCTTTACGTTGAGTAGTAATGTTCATAAAAGATCGATTTATTCTTAATAAATATAAATATTAACGTTTAAGTATTAGTAATTAATTTAGTTCATCTTAGTATTTTTTCTCACCGATTATGAGAAACTTATCTATTTGACAGTTGTTTTTATTCTGTTATAGCACCATTTATATGAGACACATATTATTAGTGAGTGAAACGGCGTGACAAGCAACAACATCACTTCGATCTAATAACTGTAGCATACACGCATGTGCACACAAGACCAAGCCGTTTATAAAGAAAAATCCAAAACAAAGCAAAAAACCATTGTTCGATTGTATTATCACGACGTCGCTTTTCTTCTGTCACAAGTGTAGAGTTACCTTGAATCTTTGTTGCTTGTTTTTCTTACCCTTAATTATTGTGAGTCATACATGGAGAAATAAACTAAATGTATATGAATGAATTGTGCCCGTATTGTACTGTTGCCTTTAGAATACAAAAGCGCTTATATCTCACCTTCTGCACAATGAATTTTAATATTTTTTTTTCAAATTCTCCTTAATATCTATTCTACTTATCGTAAAAATGCAAGTTTTTCGTCTACCGTCGCTATGGGAGTTTTCAAGCAAGAATGGCAAAGGTCAGTTCTTTTTGACACATTTAATGGGCGAAAATCACTTTTCTGTTCAACAATTTTGATTCAGTGAAAATATTTTTTTAGAACTATTTTGTAGCCAAGACTTTCCTCTTTCTGACCATACAAATCGATTACAACTTAGTTTAGGATTTACCGATCGAATCTTGCAAAGTCTACCTAAACATAGATTGTGACTATTTTGTCATGACGATTAAATTGATGCTATTAAAGCCAATTAAAAAGTAAACTCAAATTTTCATTTTCTGTTCTATAGATTAAATGACGAAAAACATTTTGATTAAAAATTTTTTTCTACGAACCCTCTAAGATTAAATAAAAAACTAAAAATAAGAGAGAAGAGTAACTATTTTTCTACAAAAATGTCACGACAGATTAAAATAATGAATATTTAGAGAAAACTTAATTTGATTTCATCTTATTTGACTTGAGGGGTGAGCGCATGGAGAATGTCACTCTCATCTTCACGCCCTTAGGATATGTATGTATGTGTGCGGATAAAGTTTCGCATATGCCCATTAGATACTTCTTTTCAAAATCTACCGATTTATATATGATAACAATATATAAAAACTCATCATAAAGTGGCAAATATCAAATTGGTACTAATTTTTAAATATACGCGTCAAAATTATTTAAAATTTAAGTTCTTAAAAAGGTTGCAAATTTTGAAAATGACTATAAATTGACCATATCCATAGAAACTTCAAATAATATAATCATTATTAAGTATTAATTATTTCGATTCTTGACGTTTCAAATTTACAAGAAAACGAGCAATGAGAAATCTACTATTCTGTTCATTCGAAATTTGGCAGAAATCAGCAATCAGAAATCTGTCAATTACTGTGTATCCACTAACATTCGAAATTTGGCAGAAATCAGCAATCAGAAATCTGTCAATTACTGTGTATCCACTAACATTCAAAAAAGCAGAGAAGTTGTTTAAAAACGTTTTGTAGAAATCGCTTGTTTTCTTATGACAAAGTAGCGAATCACCAAGAGCAAAATACTTTAGAATAACTAAAAATACATAACCACAATAAAGATTTGAAACTAGAAAGTATGACATAGAAAAAAGTTTCAGACTGCTTGTTCATACGAACTAAAACCAGTAGTTGTACAATTTTTTAAATGGAAAAGAATTGTAAAAAACATTATTGATTTCGAATAATTGTGTCCTCTGAATGAAGGTTTAAATTTTGATAAATAAGAAAAGAGTTGTTCTGCAACTTGAGTATTAATGGAAGCATAAATATCGTTATGACACGAATGATCTGGTCTCACACTGCTTTACACATGGGTCTTTTATGGTTTATACATGAAATCGATCGACTGCCATGACTAATGATGTGAGAAATTGTGTAAACTCTGATGATTGTAAATCATCGGAACCAAAGTTTCTTTTGATAAATAATTTCAAAGTGCATGCGCAACCGCAACACATCGCCCATGGAATGAAAATATGGCAAAAAATGATGTAAATTTCGTCATTTTAACGAAAACTTTATTTAGAGAAAAATGATGTCGAAAATGAAAAACAATGTCATTTTTCATGGTGAAACGAACATTTTATTGCATGTATTTAAAATTCATGCATGAAATCGGCACGAAAGCCATTCCATGAAAATGATTACATTTTTCTGGTGCAAAATAAATGAAAAAAATGCCATTTTTGACCATGAAATGGATATTTTCATGCATGTATTTTAAATTCATCCATGACATTTGCACGAAAATCATTCCGTCAAAATGATTACCCAATACGAACAATCCAAAAATATAATCCCGTCGGATCCTGTGGATTGCTCGTATGAACCTTTTGAATTGTCCCCCGCCACGAGTCCATCCGGTTTATCGTTTCTCTCGGAAACGATAAAAAAATTTCGATACTCTTCTTTTATCTTTTGCGTTTACGTCATCTTTCTGCATTTTTTTCTATACTTTTTTTTTTTTTATGTTTT